CAATGCCACAAGTGAGTACAATAAATTGATAATAGTATTCTTCATTTATCGTTAACATATATTTTATATGTAAAAATAGAAGATTACAATTTTAAATATTGTGATTGTGTAATCAATAAATGTTATCAACATAGTTCATTATTAAGAGATGTAGTGGTCGAATATTTCGTTAATAATGCAGAGTATGAAAAATATGAGGCAATTACTAACGATTTAATTGAACGCTCATCGGTTGATCTGGAGTTTTATTTACGAGAATTGTATGAAAAGCTATTCACCGTAAAGTCTGATTATGGGCATAAACGTTGGCTTGAAGGTAAAAAAATTATTAGTAATATTTTTGATAATAAAATTATAACTAATAGTTAATAGACGAAACTAATTTACTTTATAAAGGTTAAAAATTATGTTTATATAGATTATTTTTATTGTACAGAAAGACTTATCTTATTTACAGGTAGCAGTCAAAAGTTGAGGAGTGGATTTAAAAATCGTCGTATGATTGATCTTATTTGCATGTACAACTTAATTGTATCACGTAAACAAGATGAATGTTAGTATTAGCATTGAAACTGGTTTTCATTTGACTATTCATATTAGCCAATATAGATTCAAAGTAAGATTATGATTATGAATATTAAACATAGGTTTAACTGAGCTTAACTCGACTCAGCATATGGCAAATTTGGTACCGACATACTATCGCACCCCAATTACCTATCTTAATTTTAATTTGGATGGCGAGACTGTAGATGAATATTCAGAGTGGTATTTATAATTTGTAAATAATTAGTTTGTTTTGTTGTAAGTTAATTATTAACATTGAAGTCATCCTTTGGATTCAGGCCCATATGTTACGGTATGCATTATTACTCCTTCACGATATATTAGTATGTCAGCAGATTATTTAAATATTATTTGTGGCGTGAGGGATGAAATAACATTATTTCTACAATCACCTCCGGTAAAAGGAGAGAACATTATGTTATACCAAAATGTCGATTTTAATATAACCATAGTATTGTACCATGATGCCATGCATTTAGTATTAGAATCCAGAATAGTGGATGGGTGTCGAGTGTTATTAAATAACGAAAACATTAATAGACTTATGGACTTACAGTGTACTATTAACAGTACAATATCAAGAAAAATAAAAACACGTTTACTATTAAGCCATCAAATAGACCGCATTATACAATACGCCGACGGTAAATGGTGGGGCCCTAAAATTCAACAATCAAACAATGATGAAATGGTTAATTTTATAAGAAGTTTGAACGACATAGAAATATGCGATACTATTCCTAAAGGTGACAGTAATTACATAAGCGAGCTTAAGAATTTAGCAATCAATGTATAGTTGTATTAGCGGCGAACGTGGTTGATGCTTAAATTTCAATACGTAGGTCAAAAGACGGGACTGTAATTGTGTCGGTCTGCTTTGACATATCAATCACTGCAATAAAATTATTATAATGATATTAAAAAATAATGTTAAATATGGTTAAAATAAAAACATCTATACATTTGTCGGTTAAATAACAAGGTATTTGTGTGGTGAATTTGTACCGCACATTTTTGTACAGTATTCATTATCACATGTAAAAAATGTTAAATTTCATGATGTAAAATAGAATATGTGTATGAAAAAACTATGTTTAAAGATCTATACCTGTTCCTGTACTTCATCATGTCACATGCATAACACTAGAAGCAATTGCTAATTATGTTACCTTTAATGTATATTATTATTATTAATATTATATAAAAATATGAAAGAAAAAAGATAATTAACTTACAACAAAACAAACTAATTATTTACAAATTATAAATACCACTCTGAATATTCATCTATAGTCTCGTCATCCAAATTAAAATTAAGATAGGTAATGGGGGTGCGATAGTATGTCGGTACCAAATTCGCCATATGCTGAGTCGAGTTAAGCTCAGTTAAACCTATGTTTAATATTCATAATCATAATCNTTTTTGTAAGTGTTCCTGAAATACTGACACTGTTGGATACACATTAATGTGAGGTGACGCGATATATTTAATTTAACATGAAAACACGGTAAGTGAAGGAGAGCAAGTCAGTCGATCACATCATACACGTTTGTGTTTGTCGCGACGAGTGTGCCGCTGACACTAAGCAATTTATTTTCATTTTTTTTTTTTTGTAGCCGTCTAGTAGACCGGAGATTCCGCGTTCTTTTTAATATACGCCGCTATCTCCAATGTGTTTTTTCCCACTAAAAAACCACCACCTTCGTAACGGTACGGCGGCGCTGCTGTTTTAGACCGGTCCCTGCAACGTATGGCATTGAAAACTAATTCATTCGCGCTCTCTCATTTGGTCGTTTCGGTCATATTGATGCCAAGTATTTGGTCGTGTATTACCTTGTCACCATAGTCGTTGAATTGAGCTGCTTATAGTTTTGTTGAATGTGACGGTGTTATTTGCCCTTCCTGGAAACGGATTTCACATTATTCATCAGTTCCAAACGGTAGTGGGTAATTAATAATAATTATTTTTTATTGTTATTTTACGGATTTACAGTCCACATAATATGTATTAGTTATAAACAGGAGATGTATGTTATTATTTTGGTTATTAATTTTAGATAATTCTATTTATCATTTGGGTCTTGTTTGTTTGTTATTTTTTATCATAACAGAAAAATATCATACTGTGATTATATATATATATATATGTTGTTTTCTTTCTTTCTATTTAATATATTGTAAGGCTCAATTTCCACATTTTATATTCTCCTTTTCCTTCCGCTAAGGCATGGCCAAATACGTATAGTTAATCGTAGTTATTAAACGAACAAAAATGTTACAAGAAAAATTCGCAAATTGCCGATACTAAAGAAAAAATATAGCCGGCATTGCACAGACACTTATATATATATATTAAATTAAAGCTTATGTAATATACTTTAATATCAAAAATATGGTACGTCTCCAGTGTACCGCGACCCCACTGTACTGGGTTTTATAAATTATAATTTGTAATAAGTTATAACGTCTGGATATGTAGTATATACTGTAGGTAAACATTTAATTTTTTATACATTTCACAAAAATTACAAAAATTAATTATGTAGCTGCGTTGTTATATATGTCGTAAGAGTGCCAATATGAATCCCCATCTATCATTTCATAAGTAAGTTATTGAGAGATTGATATCACAATATTTAATAAAATGTAGAATTGTCTTATTAATTTTATAATGTATTTATAATTATAGATTTCCCAAAGATTTAACCAAATTATTGAAATGGAAAAAAAATTTTAAAATTGATCGCGTATCTGAATGGCAAAGAATTTGTTCTGGCCATTTTGATCCTAGTAACTTTAACTGTGGAAATAAATATAAAACTCTTAAAAAAGATGCTGTTCCAACAATTTTAAAAAAGTATCTTAACTTGTATTAATATAAATATTTAAATATACATAAAAACATACATATGTATTTGGAATTAAAAAAAAAATTGGTTGATCATGACTACTTTGAGAATTGTATACATTTGAGCAAATTTGTTAATGGAGTATCAAAATACATAGTGGGTTTGTAGCCAAAAAGGTGGCTACAAAAATTCATTGTGATGAATGTAAACTTAGCTTAATTTCATCTACTCATAAGAATAGTTTGACAGAAATTCAGAATCGCGGTAATCTCACAAAACCAAGTCCTGATGTTGAGATAATCTGTAATGTAACTAAAAAAATATTTAAACAGTACACTAATCACATCCATTCAAAAAATCCATACAATTTTTTTTTACTTAAAGTTAAAACTGAACTATATAGAAGTTATAACATATTTTCTAAAGTAACTTGTGGAGATGATGCTTGGTTTGAAAATGACCACAAAAACAATATGATAAATTTTATAGGGTTTAAGTATTTAGATGTTAGAATGTATCACGAAGTTAGAATAAGAAATGAAGAACGCATTAAAACAAGAGCGAAACTAACAAAAACTATTCATTTTAATCACGATTAATTTATGTTCGTTACAGTTTACTATAAATTTTATAAGTTTTGGAAAGAATAATTGTTTTAAGTTTTACATTATTATTATACATTACATAACTTACACTAATTAATAATTACATACCAATAAAAAATAAACATTATCATGTAATAATGTAAACAAATAGCCTCAATTTACTATCACCACAGTCTTCACTGATAGAGCATCAATGTCCTATCCATTTTTATAAGATCTATGGTCGGAAACGAAACAGAACGGATTATCAGTAAAACATCGTCGGCGGCGACCTTGTCACGGTGTCAAGGTCGGGGAGACATCTGATGACATTGATTGTCATATTGATAAGTGGACGGCTGATGTCAAGAGAGACACAGGTGAGCGCCAGCCTAAAGCGTAGCGCGATGTCGTGTCAACATCTTAAGTTTACGCGGTACTAATTTTTAAAATATTGAGGTAAGCATCATTACTCCGTGTTCCATTATTTCTAAAACTGTTATAATATCTACTTAAAGTAAATTCTCACCAATTTTAAAGGACCACAATATAAATATTCCTAAAAAAAATTAAAAAACTGTACGATAGATTTTTTTTATTAAATATTGCAAAATTATATTCATGTCTAAACGATAGCTATACTACAGAAATATTTATAATAACACAACCTGAGTCGTAATAGTACACAATATAACATACTTTTGGAGAGCTAAAACAATGTGTCTCCGTAATCCACTTCGCATTGGTATGCTATAATGTAACCAATAATTGTTAATAATATTTCTTTTAGTGTCAAAAGTGTTAATTCATAAAATTTATGTTTTATTTAATAGTGATTAAACTTACAAATTCATTGTTATCAGTTGGATATTCAATATTTATTCCATTCTATATGAAAAAAACCTTATTTTAACATTTTATACAAAGATTTTCTATTTATAATAACAGTTAGAAAAATTGTTTATTAAAAAAATAATGATTTAAGGTGCCTACGAAAAATAAAATTACATCATGACTTTTTTTTTCTATGAAATTGTTAAATTTAGCTGATGATTTATACTAAAAATGTTAAATTAAATAATAATTATCTACACTTAATTATTAAATTAATTATCATTTAATAAACTGTTTAAATTACCGTGTCAATTAAAAAAGTATTTCCAAAAACATATCCAAAAAAAAAAACCACACATAATAATTAATACAAAAGAATATATTTTGGAAAACATTTTCAAGAATATTGAGATTTGTATAGTATTATTGACCGATTAACTGGTTAGCACTTTCGTTGTGTATCTTTTTCGACTTAAGTTTGTGTTCGTGTGCGAATTTGTAAAACTACATTTTACCTGTGCATTTATATAGCTGTATATAATATTTAAATAAAAAGAAAATGGCTGATTACAACAAGCGTAATCAACTCGCGAAATATAAAGCTAATTTGTTCGCATTATTATAAGTGGTTTTCTTTTTCTATAAAAATTATAAAAGTCTTAAAAACCATTTTTGTAACTTATTATTAAGAACTTTATTTAAAAGCCATAGTTATGCATAGTGCTGTTTATTTTAATTCGACGATTTAATCATTCTAAACCAAATTTCTGATCATTATAAAACTAAATAAATGGATTTTTGAAATTTTTTTCAGAACTTTGTAACTAAAAAAAAAATTAGTGCAGAAATTTTTTTGAATTTTGTAAGTATCTTAATAATATATTGGCTCAGTAAAGTAGAAATCAGCCCCCAAAAAGAAAGCTAATAATTTAATCTAATACTTTTATTTTGATGAGAGAAGGTCGTAATATATCTTTTGTAAAAACTTTTTATATAAAAAATTCTTAAATTTTCAATTTTTTATGAAAATAGTTATAAATAAAATACTCTAAATAATTATTATACCGTCAAATAGTCCAGTTTGGGATAGTGTTAAAACATGAGACAGTTAATTCTTATTTTAGCCGTATCGTTAACCCATTGTATATTTTGATATTCAGATATAACTATTAGAAAGTGTAATACACTTAAAATTAAGAATTAATCATTAATATTGTAAATTGTATCCTTAATTATTAATATCATTCTTCCTAATAAAAAGGGACCTAACTACTAACTTGATTGTCAGTATTCCATCGCTGTTGATGTTATATCATAGTCATTATTTTGACTGTTCCTGAAAACACGTATCCCAAAGATTAAATTGCACTTAGTACGACCAGTTTACCATAACCGTATCAATCTACGGCACTAGTAAAATCATAACAAATATTTTTAAGATAGTCAAAATATTTGTGTCACATATATTTAGTGGTAAAATTTGTAAAATATTTGATTGTCTCAAGTTGGCCATTTGGCGATTTTATTTTTAGTAAATAATTAAAAAATTATTATTATATTTTTATTTTTTGTAATAAACAAAAAGAAGGGATAGCGTAGGAACGCTGGCAATAAAAAAAGAGAAAGGATAGTATGATGCGAAGCAAAGGAAAGTATGAGTGTCTAGTGGTATTGGGCACGGACAATAATACAATGAAATAGAAAGGGATCTCGGGGTATGTATGCTTTCGTAAACACGTCTGATATATATATATGAATAAGATGAAATAACAACGAAGAATCACTACCAAGATCCTGCACAGAAACAATTACATGAATTTCTGGTGAGTCATAAATATCGTACTTCTTTATAAAAGTATTTTTGGTTTGTTTTCGACAACTTATCTTATTCTAGTTGTTTATTACTAAAAAACCTTCTATAAAGATATTATTATAATTTTTTATATAAATGAATATTTTCACTTACCTCTAATTATCCTCATAGGACAGATATTCTGTTGAGATGAATTATGTAGTTGATGTCACTGTAAGCAATATGTATGTATACGCACTTGAAATTGCGCGGCTCTTATTATTATATTAATTCACGTATAACTATTTCTCTAGTACAACTCTATATTAAATCTACTCAAGGTGAAAACTAAATTTATTAAAGTTTTAGTATTTTATTTAAAATCTTTTTTTTTATATTTACGTAGTGCACTCTTTGACCTTGTGTTTGGTGTTTTATACTAACTTATTTATAATTTAGTAGTTTGTAAAACCAATAAAGAATTTTTAAATAACTGCCCTGTACAATAAACGATTTCCAAGTGGTCTACGTCTTTTCAGTTCATAGGGTGATCTAGGGTAGATTCCAGCTCAATATCAGTTCTTTGCACAATAGATTAAACTAGTGTCTTACACTCCGAGTGCCCGCACTGTGGCTGAGTTCAGACTGGCTAGTCGACAAGTGGAGAGACACTTTCTAATTGCTTAGGTAATTAGTATAATATTTCGACTCTGATTTATTTGTATTTCGTAGCTGGTTGTGTCAATATAAAATCTCAAATAATATTTTTATTTTTATGCAAAGATTTTTATGATACGTGGCCTACTTCTTTTCAATCACCTGAAGGACAACCCAGGCCGGACATCACTTGGGTGAGACGGAATGTTATCTCACCGTGAGACCGGTTCACAGACTATATCTAACTTAGGTTTTGAAACTTTTTGTTTAATTTATATACCCATAGTATAATATTTAATATTTAACGATTAAATATAGTCTAGTTAACCTGATGTATGTAGCCAAAACATTACAAAAAAACTTGGATACATTTACAATAGGTGCCTTAATTTAAGTTAAACATGCATGCTAAAAGAATTAATATATCTACATTATATAAATGCAAAAACACACTCATAATATCATAAAATTTAGTGTCCAGTAATTTATAATGAAAGAAATCTTGAAAATTGCTCATTCGCGCCTAATGCGAAACATTTTGTTAAGTAAAATTTAATAATAGAGTGTAGTCGTAATGAGACTTTTCTCTATACTGCTTAATAGAACTATTAATATATTTATATATTTTCAGTTTATTGTGCGTTTCTACTAAGTTATTTAAAAGTTTGAATGATTAGCTAGATCGCTCTATTAGTAACAATGGGAAAGTTTTGAACCCCCCTTGCATAAAGGGAACTGGTCCGATTTAAAAAAAAAGTATATCGAATGAAAGAAATATATAAATATTATTTCTCTTAAAAAAATAATAATGATCCATAAATTTTTAATCTCAAATAATATCTTTATCTTTATGCAAAGACTTTTATGATACGTGGCTTACTTCTATTCAATCACCTGAAGGACAACTAAAGTAAGATGCGACTGTACTATAGGTTTATGCTAAGTTAGTTATGTATGTGTCCTACACTATGATAGCCCACACTGTGGCTGAGATCAAACTGACTGGTGTACAGGGGGAGAGACACTTTAGAGAACGCTTGTAATTAGTTGGAATCTTGACTACGATATTATTGTGCTAGTACTCTGTCCAGACAATTTGTGGCCCTTCAATAAGTAATAGAACACAATGCAGTCTAATCGTGTATTTTTTGAAGACTATAGATATATAAAATAAATAAATACTAATATTTTATATGTGTTGGAATATTTGTATCACTAAAAGTATTCGACCGAAAATAACATGTTTAACATTTCTTCTAAATCCCATCGATTAGGAATGAAATATAAAAACGGTGTAGATTTTATATGGAGTTGTAACCTAGAACAAACCAAACATTCACGCAGATTCCATTTACGTGTATTGATTGAGACTCCAGAGGAAAGCGTAATCGTAGCAGAGAGAGTTTTTTGAGGGGAAATGGCCTATTTATATCCCGCAAAACTGGTTTAGTGATCTCTGGTGAGATTCTTGAAATCTTTTTTGGTGTATTTGATTGATCAATTTGATAAAATCTTTTACGCGGGCCTTTTATGGAATGCATAAGACGGTAGTTAAATTTGTGTAAGGGTATTATTTTTTATTTATCTTATCCATAGGGAAACACTGATTTGGTGATATATTTTTATTAAGTATATGTATTAATTATTACATGTATTAAAATACGACACTACATTTTTAGCATGAGACCCCGACATATATTGAAAGAAATCCACAAAAAATAATAAATATTAAAATCGTAAGTTACTTTCATTATAATTTTTAAATACTTAAGCACATAACTGGATTGCATGTATAAATTATTTCATCATTAAAATATATTTACAAGGTAATTCTTCAATCATCAATCACTTCATTAATAGAAAAATAAATATAATATTAAAAGTTATACCCTTGATTACTTTTAGCTCTATGTTTTTCTCGATTTAGCAATCATTTAATGTTTTTCAAGTTCATCCTTTATTCATTATTAATGTGTAAAATTAATTTTTTCAAATGATAAACATAATTAGTTTCCTTATTTAATACGTAGTGATACTATTACAGCATACCACTTGAACGCTCTTAAAATAATAAATACGTTAAGCAAATGTGTTTTTAAGTATTTTTTATTGTCAAATACTACTCTACTAATCGGTCACCAATTACTTTTTTAATTCATATCTTATAAAAGGTTTAACTTTATTTTTTAAATGGTAACATATTTTTATCTAGCTTATAATTTAGTAAATTATCTAATTAAGAATATGATGGGTCGATAACAACTTTTGGACCAGTACTTCAAAAAACTATTCTCATTTTCATACCCATACAAAAGAGAGACTACAATCAAGAAATGACACATTTTAAAAACCAAAGGAAAAAGATTCAATTATGATCTTTAATTTTCCAAAACGTATAAAATATTTTTATTTGTTATAATCACTTTTATTTATATTTTTTAGACATTTGAAGAAAAATACATTATTTTAAATTACAATGAAAAACATAAAACTTTCGATTACAACGGTAAGTAAAGGGCAAGTTTATGTCATCTGTTAAAATATATTAATGTCTCATCATGACAAAACAGAAATTCTATGTAATTTATATAAAAAATTGTCAAATTATGAAATTATTTCATTTACAGTACAAAAAACCAATAAAGAATTAAAGTCTTTTTTGGTTAATGTAGACTGCCGAATTCAATTCAAAATAATTAAAATCCAAGTAAGTTCATTAAAATGTCTATGCGTGTATTTAAATTAAAATTACAATGTTTCGAAATTAAAATTTAATTGAAAGTAAACGTAGGACTCATTACGGAATGCACACCAGTGTAAATATGATATGATACAAGTTATATTTTTAAATAAATAAATTATAAAAATTAACACTATATACATAGATATTGTACGGTTATTCTATATTTTATGTAGAATTAAGATACTTTTATTAAAAATGTTTGTAAATTTATCATTCAATAATCATTTGATTGATAATTTTTATGTTTTTAAAAGTATAAATTTCTAAACTATTTTAAAATTCATATATAGGTATTCGGTTTATCCTAAACAATTCTCAATTAAATGTAAAATAAATACAATATTGAAAACAAAATGTTTGGTAAATTTAGTTACATATTTCTTTTTAATAATCAGATATAAATTTTATATGTTTCAATTACGTTTTCATCTCTTATACCTTGAAGAGGTGATAATTTATTTGATTAAATTGTAACATACACATTTAATTAACTTATAAATAGATAATAATCTAATTAAGAAAACGCCTGGATGATAACATCTATCGGACCAGTATTTTAGAAGTTATTAACAATTTTAATTATTGACTGGAGGTAAGTTGAAGGTACTGCTATTTTATCCTCTTTCAAATATTTATGCTTTTAACACTGTTAAATATAAAGTTAAAAAGTATACAGATACATTAGATTTTAATATCAGTTTTGACTGTTAAATTATGTTTAAGCTTAAAAATGTAGTAAAATAGAACCTACATTTACAAAAACTTTTATCATACAATTAGTGAAATTGTGTGTGTATTCGGTTTGATGTATACTATTTCTGTTATAAGCATATACAAATTTTTGTTGAAAACAACTTATAATACTTTATCATTTATTTGTATTGTAATTTTGTTACATTAAAATGACTTTAAAATCAAAAGAAAGATATTTTTGCGATTTTTCTCTTTTATGCAATTAGAGGCCAAAATCAAAATTAGAAATTTTTTATTTTTAGTTCAAAACTTTTCTTAAAGTATACTTTTATCCGACGCGTAATATGATAGTGGTATATATTACTATAAGATTTTAGTCTATATTGAAGTTCACTATGTGGGGTACTGGGTAATTTATGTAATAATTGATAGATATTATAATGTAATTCAATGAATGTACAATATTATAGAAAATTAAAATTTAATTTTTACAGAACAGTAAACTGGATAATGACACACCCATATTAAATGATACGGTGTATGATGAAGAAACCTATGTTCAACTAAGAAAAGTCCACAATTTGTCTTTATGGAACCATGTCGAAGAGGAACTTGTACAATCGTATTTTTCTACACTACCCCGTACAACACTTAAAGATTTCATTAATAATTCAACAATGTACAAGTGTAGTACTGAATTCACTATTACGAGAGCAATAGAAATCATGGAAATCGTACTATTAAGTATGCAATTTTGCTAATTTCTTATACCTTTGAGGCAATAAGAATTAGTCTGTCTTTAGAGTTTTATCGGTACCCAAATATTGCAAAGTTTGAAAGATTAGATGACGCGCTGATAAAATTGACAGGCAACAATATCTTGAGTAAAGGATATTGTGATTTTTTTTATGTAAAGTATGAAAAAAATGCAATGTTTATTTTAAGATCTATGGTATATAAATACATAAAATATTTCCTAACCCCTGACGAAATTCAATACTACTCAAATGATTTAAATGAAAATTACTGTGAACAGCATAATGTCGATAAAAAACCCATATTACCACAATATCTATTAGATAAAGTATTAAATGGATTTCCCAAACCTCACGAAGAAAACAAATTTCAAAACATACCATCGAATTTACATGATGTAGAGGAAAAATTGGAGAAAATTAATAGCTTAATTAAGACAGAATACAAATATATTTTAAAAATAGCTACCTAATAAGAATAACTTTAAGTAATTTCTTAATTAATAAATTGATTCTTACCAAAAATTGTGCGATTTATTATGTTAAAGTAAAAACACTTATTCATTTTAATAAAAAATAATAATTTGCAAGATTTATTGAAAAAACATTAATCGTAAATTATAAATTTTAAAAACATAATTACCTCGGAATGAAAAATTCTAAATAGAACTTTTAATAAAATTTATTATATTTATTATTTATTATTAAATATTATTATTAAATAATTATTATTAAATAATAAGTATTATTTATTTTTATCGATAACATAGACAGATACATATATATATATATACAGGGTGGCCCACCACTCACTGACAACTTAAATAACTTTTCATCCAGTTAATATTTTTAATTGATTTTTTTTTAAATAATAGTTATACGTTAGGTCCATAGCTATATCTCAACAATTAATATTTTACATTTTATTAAAAATATTATTTATTTTTAAATTTTAAATAAAATGTAAAAAAAAATCTAAGATAGCTATTTTGTAGAGTAGAATTTAAGAAAAATTTTAGTAAAAAAATATCTTATTAATATTGACTAGTAAATATTCTGTAGCGTTTTGAAGTTTGTGAAAATTTGAATTTTCATCTATTATTTTACGGTATTAAACATTGAAATACGTATTGAGAAAAGGACAGAAGAAAACGCTATCTTTTCATGATTACTGTGTATACATATGATGATAATGTGTATACATTACAAACATGGCATTAATACCATGATAAGAAATTAGATAAGGCAATTATTACTTATCACTCTCATTCAAAAGTATATTGAAAAGATAGCGTTTTCTTCTGTCCTTTTCTCAATACGTATTTCAATGTTTAATACCGTAAAATAGTACATGAAAATTCAAATTTTCACAAACTTCAAAACGCTACAGAATATTTACTACTGAATATTAATAAGATATTTTTTTACTAAAATTTTTCTTAAATTCTACTCTACAAAATAGCTATCTTAGATTTTTTTTTTTACATTTTATTTAAAATTTAAAAATAATTAATATTTTTAATAAAATGTAAAAAAATTAATTATTCAGATATAGCTATAGACCTAACTTATAACTATTATTTAAAAAAAGAATCAGCTAAAAATATTAACTAGATCAAAAGTTATTTAAGTTATCAGTGAGTGGTAGGCCACCCTGTATAATCTTTTCAATTTAACACGGCCGCCGGGGTTTGACGGCCGGTTATAGAAAGTGTTCAGGAAATCATGTGAAAATAAATATAGTTTAAAAAAACACGATTTTAAAGCACATCGAACTAAAAAGTTAAAAATAATTATGAACAAAAAATACTAGTATTATTGTGATAAAAGCGTCGGGCGCTCAATATACGAAAAATATGGCACAAAGCACCTACGCTTTTATCACAATAATACTAGTATATTTTGTTCATAATTATTTTTAACTTTTTAGTTCGATGTGCTTTTAAAGCGTGTTTTTTTTAAACTATATTTATTTTGCACTTTTTAGTTTCATGTTATGATAGAAGTTACTATCAATATCATGGTTGTAATGGGTAACGGGAAATCAGGGTTCGATTCCGGGGATGGAGTCTGAAAAACGGCTACACATCCAAGGAAAGCAGCAGACGCGAAAATTACTCACTCCCGAAACGTGGAGGTAGTGACGAAAAATGACGATACAGGAATCATCCCCCATAATCGGAATAAATACACTATATATCTCTTATTAATAATAAAGCGTGTTAATATATAAATTTTAATAGTAATTAGAATATATATATATATACACAAGAAAAGCGACTTAAGTACGTAAACGTATCACGCACTAAGTATAGCCGTGTTTTGTGGGCGGCGGGTCGGACTAACGTTATACCTGAGGTATAACGGCGGTAGGAATATATACGTACGCGGATAGTATCATTTGATGATAGTCAAAATAAAAATTTTTTTATATTTATATAATATTGATGACAAGCACGCGTGTACGGGTGCGGTAACTAAAAATAAATTTATACAGGAATAGTGTTGCCGTCTTGTGATGAGCGTGGCGAGGGGTGGGGTGAATGCGTTATGACAGTCTAGTCTCAAGGCCATAGACGACGGAATATGCGATAACGCGTGGCGTTTGGAGAGTTACAAACATACATACATACATACATACAGGTGACACTAATATAAACGTGTTAAAAAAAAATATAGTTTAAAAAACTAAAAAAACACGCTTTTAAAGCACATCGAACTAAAAAGTTAATAAATATAGTTTAAAAAAACTAAAAAACACGCTTTTAAAGAACATTGAACTAAAAAGTTAAAAATAATTTTTAAAATAAGCGTAAAACAATAATGAACGAAATGTACTAATATTATTGTGATAAAAGCGTCGGGCGCTCAATATACGAAAAATATAGCACAAAGCACCCACGCTTTTATCACAATAATATTAGTACATTTCGTTCATTATTGTTTTACGCTTATTTTAAAAATTATTTTTAACTTTTTAGTTCAATGTTCTTTAAAAGCGTGTTTTTTAGTTTTTTTAAACTATATTTATT